TCTATATTTGAATTTGATTTGAAATCAAATATTTGAATCAAATCAAATCAAATCAAATCAAATGCGGAACCCTACCCCAAAGTGATCATCTTAACATTAAAAAAAAAACTATAAGCTCAATAAAAAACTTTTTTTATAAAAATGCTGTGTAAAAAAATAACTAATAAAGAGAAAGAAATAATCTTTGCTTATATCAAAACTATGATACTAAGAAAATTGCCAAAAAGCTTGATTGTGCTCTAATAACAATTTGAGAATTCTTAGTCAAGTACAAAAAAACTAAAAAAATTACAAATTTATCTCAGTTTAGACATCTCTCTACTCTAATAAAATGAGAAAAGACTACTATAATAAAAAAAATATTAAAGGAAAGATATGTAGTTCTGCTCAAAATTGTAAAGGATTTAATTTCAATACAATATACAAACTGTAGTTAGAACTTAGTATAATATTAAACTTCATTCTTGTGTTGCTGTCTTAAAATGTTTTTTGTTATAAATAATATAAATAAATATATAAAATAATGTAAATAATATATAAACAAAAATATTTACTATTGAGGTGTATTATTTTTTTAAATAAACTAAGTATAGAAGTAAGTAAACAATTTGTCAAGTTTGAGTATAGTGTTATACAGATGAAAGACACAAATATGAGTATTTATAATTAATTTTAGAAATAAAACAATCTTAGTAATAGTTTGATCATATTATGTTGATATCATTAAAGATCTTATAGTTTTTTTTTGATGATTACAAAGAACCCAAATAAAAAATTAATAAAAATATTTATACTTAAATGATCACTTCATATTATTTATAGCTACTGCTTGTTAGTTACTCAACTTTATTTAATTTTTTAGCATAATAATGCTTCAGTTTATAAGATGTCAGATTGGTTTAATTAAAAAAAATTAATTATATAAATTAGTCTTTATGATCACCTGATTTTAATCTTATAGAAAACATTTAGAAGATCATAAAGGTCAATATTCAGAACTAAGAAAACTTTTCAAAGGATAAACCTATGCTTAAAGCAGCCTTAAAAAAAGTATAATCAAATTTAATATCAGTTCTTTGTATAGTTTTAGATTTAATAATACAAAGAATTAAAACTATCACAAATATAAAAGGTCACTCTTAGGGATGTTAAATTGTGAATCCAGTTCAGTCTGGTCTTAGGATCTAAAAAGACGGTCCTGAACTCATTCTTTAAATCACATGAAAACATAATAAAAATACAATACAATTTAATAAGACTTAGATCCTGTATCAGATCCTGAATTGAACCTATTGAATAAGTTTATCCAATCAAATTAATTTTGTATTGTCATAATAATTCAATTCAGGATCTAAGTCCTATAAAATGTATTGTGTTTTCATATAACTTAAGGACCAAGTCCTTACCGATCCTTAAAAGAATCTGAAAGGATTGGTTAGGATTCGATCCCAAAGGACCGATTAATATCCCTAGTCACTCTTGCAAATATTATACAAATAAAAAAAATTAATGTCGCAGCTGATGCTGAAAACGGCTGAAGCTGAAATTTGAGGTCTCGATTTAAAAATATAAGCCCTGCTAATATCCACATATACAAAAAAAAAGCGGGGAAAAACACCACAAAAAATTTTAAAAAATTCATATCAAAATAGATCCGAATTTCAGCATCAGCTGCGACAATTAATGAATTTGTCTATGAATTAATTGTCTATGAAACGAAATGTCTGTAATGATATTTTATAAAATGATAACGTACTTGGATCCAATTATGTCCTGTTAGTAAAATGAATTTCTGTATTACGACTTCGGTGAAATGATATTTCAAAAAGTGGACTTCGGGAACGTATGACCTTTTATCCAGTGATCCGATTTGGGTTATTTTACCAACATCATGCGACTACAGTCTAACCTCGTTATTAGTGCTCTTGATATAGTCACAAATTATAGAAAATTACATTTTTGGTTTATCGATGATTGTAAAAGCATAAAAATTAACCTCCATAAAGTCACTGTCAATTAAATTTTGGTTGCCAGTCCCGTGATTATATCGAGGTTAGACTATATTCTTAGCAAAATTATCAACCGAGCACTTATCCTTAGTGAAAGACCATGATTTTAGTGAAATTGTTAAGTATCTTAGACAAAAATTAGTTAATTCCAGCATGGGCGGATAAACTGACTGGATCTTGCAGTCCAGGTTGGTGACGTAGTTCTTCTGATCTACGAATCAGCTTTCAAGGTTAGGTGTAACGTAACACAATCAAGAAGATTCAAAACTCAAAAATCTGCATAAGAAACCACCTTTTGTGCTCTAACAAAAAAAGTTTCGTTGGACAATTTTACTATAAAACTACTCCAATTTAATTCTTAATCCTGACCCTAACCCTAACCTTACCGAATTTTAAGAATTTTGTCTGCGCCACCAACCTGGTACACATTTTCCAATTTCCTGGATCTTCTTGATTTGTAGCTTATGCGGTTCCATTTAATGACGATAACCTTGAATTAAGATTGTATCCTTAGCTATATTAAGTATTAATGATCTACATTAAAGAAATGCGTCGTACGTACCGTACGCATACAAAAATTTAAAAACTCAAGTTTCATTGATACATAACTCTAAATACTATATGAATTTCCAATTTAAAAACTAATTTACATATTTGTTTATTTAGATTTGTAAAGTAAACCGGAGTTTAAACTTTATGTTGGTTATGTTTGTTATTTGTTTTGGTCATGAGTCTTTTAAAACCCAATATGTATGTTTATATTATTGCCAACGCTAACAAAAAATATGTTGCGTAGATATTGCTTAATTCTTAGATCCTAACATTTCAAATTCCTTTTGGCTATATATCTTTTCTATTTTTGATGGCATAAGTATCACAACGAATAGTTTTAACTCCACTTGAGTTGTGTTACAAAAAATAAAAATTTTTCAGGTCTTAATAAAATTATACGGTAGCGCACATTCAGACAATCATACATATGAAAAATGCGTTAATTTTGATAGTACGTACAGTTAATAAAGCATGTATATTTAAGCATACTCTTGAAGGTTAAAATTAGGATAATTACTAATCTGTTTCGTGTTGCTTAATGTTGTAGGTATTGTCCTGATTTTGCTTATCGGTATTACCGTAATGTACTACTCTAAGTTTGTTTATGGTGCGTATGCGTGTACATACGTACAAACTATTCGATTTACCGAATTTTGATATATTACAGTACGGAAATGCTGATATAAAATTTTTTTAAAAGTAATTTTTTTTTCTATGGCCAATTTAACCGTTAAAAGAGTATCTTAAAAGAGTTATATATAAAAATTAAATTGTATGTTAACTATAAATTCTGGATTGTAACACTTTACTGAATACCGATCTTGATATGGCATAATTGTGAACACGCGATCTGACAGTAATACTACAAAATAAAAATTGGAAATCGGCGTTAAATTCTTCCTTCACCATTTTTCACCATTATTAAAACGACTTATAGCGCCTACAAACTGCATTACTATTCTTTAAATAAATTTGAATTTCCCTAAAATATCTAGAACACGTTTTACAACAATGGCCACAAACTCTACTGTCTACGAAAACGTCCCAATTTTATCTAATAAAAGAAATATAACTTTAATACAATATGAAGAGCTTAAAGAGAGAAAAGATGCTACAAATGTTCCAACATTCGACTTTGATAATAAGATAATGACTAGAAAATTATTAATAAATGACATTTGTAATAAATCAGACATTAAAAAAAAATTGTTGCTCGAGGTATGCAATTTTTTTTTTGAATTAATAAAAATATATAATTTAATTAATGCATGAGTGATTTAAAATCTTAATTTGTCTACCAATGATGACTTTACAAATTTCGAATTATTTTATAGCATTATATTATTATGATTTTATTTTTTTTAATTGTCTACGAAACTTTTTAAATATGAACCGGTTTACTAATCATCTATTTATTATAGCTTAGGCAATTTGAAAATGAAAATATTCTCAAGGTTTATGGCCTTACAAGCGGTAAGTTTATCCACTTATAATAATATTGAGACAATTATCTTACTATATAAATATATATAAATAAATATGTATATTTTTTTTAATTTGAAATATAGTGGATATGAATTATTACTTCGTTCGTGAATATGCAAATAATTGGGACTTGCGTCGTTACCTGCGAAACAATTCTCAGTTGTCCTGGATCGACAAAGTAGAATTAACGCGTCAAGTGGTTGCTGGTTTAAAATTTCTTCATGATCAAAAGATCATTCATGTTGAGTTGGTAATATTTATTTTATACAATCTATGCATTAATTATTTGATGTTTATTATAATTTAAAAAAAATTTTTAGCATCCAGAGAATATATTGGTGCATAATTCAATTCCAAAGTTGGCAAGCATAGGAATTTCGAAACTTACTACGCCTAATGGATTTCCTTTTACTCATTATACACCTCCTGAAGTACTAAACAAACAAAAGTCGAAAGATGGAACAAAACTAAACATATATAGCTTGGGAATACTGTTTTGGGAGATATCTAATCAAGGCGTTCCACCATTTAATGAAAGTTTTGATATCCCGCATGTGCTCAAAGTAATCATTGGTTCTCGAGAATTGCCTATAAATGGGACACCGCTTAAATATGTTGATATATATGAAAAATGTTGGGACGAGAATCCAGGTAAGTTATTTTTAATTATCATATTTTTAATGCGATCATTATATTCATTGACGGATATTAATTTGTATTGTAAATTCTAGATAAAAGGCCTAGTTGTCTTGAAATTCTTGAGGAAATGCGAGAAATATCCTATAAAGAAGTGTATATTAGAGATCAGGCACAAGAGCAAAATTATGTTCCTGTTCCTGAATCTGAACATGTTCCTTTAAGTCCCGACATTAATTTTGATGATGATATGGAAGATGATAATGATTTGGAAGATGACGACTTTGATATGGATTCAGGACACTTGTTAGACTTTAAATGGTTAGAAAAAGAAGCAAAAAGAAAAAGGTTATTCGTCAAGCGTTTCGGCTTAACTAAAGGTCGTAATAGAAATGGTTTTGATTTTGCTCCAGGTAAAAAGCACATCTTGGACGGCAATGGAAGGCTCGATGCAAAGAAACTAGAGCATTTTAAACCAATTGTTTATCTTGCAAACATAAACATTGAACCGTGGGCATTTTTAAATAAGTTTGCATTGTTTCCTCGTAAAGACACAACAACGGTTCCATACGGTGTGGATATTATAAGAATTCATATTCCAATCGGAGAGGTAGAATATGAAGGACATCTGACCGATGAATTTATTCATGAAATTAAAGACGCTCTTGACATTTCAAATATCGTTGAAAAAAGATCAAAATTAAGCGAAATCTTTAATGAATATGGAAATTATGTTATCACAAAATTTACTCTTGGTGGTGCAATTATGATCAATACTCAAGATATTAAAGAAGAAGAAAGTTTATTACGTTTCCAAGTATATCTTAATTGGGGTATTAGTTTCGCTAAAGGTGAAACGCAAGCTATTTTTGAAAATGGAACGCTTAAAGGTTTTCCTCGTTTTGAAACATTTCCTTCAAGATCCATGGAAAATGTCTCAGACTTATATAGGTGGTTAAAAGATTTACACGAATGCAAAGACGTTGAAATAATTAAGTTCAAGCAATATATACCATTCTATGAATTACTGGACAATAATTTAAAAGAAAAAATCTTTGAATGCTTCGCTTTAACTCCTATTGATGAACCACTCCCAATTTTAATTCCACAACTTCCTTCTGAATTCAAGCAAGAAACTTTTTCGAAGTGGACGTCATTATCAAATTCTTCTCTATTACCATATGTTAGAGATTGGATTGAAGAACTCTCATTACGGTATGGTGTGCTCTTACAGCACTCAAAATTGCAACACGGAAAAACTGTTGCGTTTAAATTTTTAAAGGAGCCTGAAATCTCCTCAATAAACAAACTCATTATTTTATTGGCTCAACCTAAAAATCAACAAGAAGCTTATCTATTGGATAACGGTATTGACTTAGAAATGGCAGATGAATTGAATATTAGTGAAACTCCTTTCATCGACTTTAATTCATCATTAAACCGCCCAGTAGAGGATCTTAAAAATTCTAAAAAAAAATCTTCTAAAAGAGTTTTTTGTCAAATTATATTTCAGGCTGCAAGACTATCTTTCGTTTTACCATATGTAAAACCATCAGAACCGTATATCGAAGCAGTAGACGTTGCCATTGATAGCTGTCAACCATATAAAAATCTTTCTGAATTATTTAATAATGATTTCGGCCACCTATTGCCTAAAACTGTTGTTATTGGTGGAATATTAAAACGATCATATGAGTCATATAAAATAAATCCTATTGATGACATTCTGAAAATAGAATTCGATGATAATACGTCTCAGGAAGAAATTGAGAATCGTTTGGCAGAATTGAGCAAAGAATATAATATCGATACGTCATTATTCCTAAGTCGCGATGGAAAAGTTATTGATCAAAACCAAATTATAGATTGGTTGAAATTTCTTAAAAATGATCCTGAAAATTGGAAAATTGTTTCACTTGAAGATTGGGTGCCATCATATAAAGTTTTAGCGTATAATGATGTGGAAATTATTTTAGATGACAAATATCACATCGTTTTCGAAGGAGAAATATTCTTAACTCAGGATAATCAATCAAGTATAATCGTTAATTTCCCAGGTGCACTTTCTGAAAATGATTTTCAAATATATGGTGAAATCGTCAAAAGTGTTAAATCTGACATAGGCGAACGTTGGGAAACGATTCCAGGTATAACAATTACATTTGATTATTGTAACAAATATGGATGTGTTGCACTCATTCATAAAAGCAATGGTATAAGGTATTATACTTTTTAAATAGCTATCATAACTAATTATATATCTAACAATATTTTAACAATTATTTTTAACAATTACCTCAAAGTTTGGTCAATAATGAGACGAAAATTTTATGGTTTGTACTTGCTAAACTGAAAGGATATTCGAAATTAGAATATAGGGATATTAAGGTCATCTGTGGAGAATGTGATGTAGAGGACATTCAATCTGATATACGCGTAGTATTGAAAACGGATGACGAAATCTGCACAGATAATGTTCTTGTGACTACATTTGTTACAAAGCCGTTTAAAGACTTGTCTTGTTACAAAATTGTTCTCAAAAGTTGGGCTAAAAATACTTTTATATTGGGTATCCAAAAAGGACAAGAAAATTCTCAATATTTGCCAGGGCAAATATCAGATGAAGATTTAGAAGGAAGTTCAGATGATGCGAAAGAAGAGTCAATTGAAAATAATGTCGAACCAAACCTTCAAGAAAAAATCTCTATCAACTTTTGTATAATTAATACAGACAAAGAAGTGAATAAAGTATATAAATGGAGTATATATGGAATCAATTTTGACGACGAATTAAAAGATGAAGAGATTAATTGCGATGATTTTAATCCTAACTTTTCCCCCATGAAATTGGAAGATGCAATTGCGCAACATCAAAAACCTAACGGAAATACTCTTGATGCATGGAAAAGCTTTGTGAAAATCCGCAACGATACTGGTGATCCTAGAGCCACCTATTGGATTGGGCATTACCTTGAGAATAATAAAAAGATTCTCGGTGCTTCCATTCAATTTTATGAGGATGTCCTTGAAGGAACGAAAGATCTTCAACAAGCTGCAATGAGGTATTATAAAGAAGCTGCTGATTATGGTGATTCAAATGGTCAACTTAGCTATGGTCACGGTTTATTCCTTGGAAATGGTGTTCTTGAAGATAAACGAGAGGCAAGAAGGTATTTTGAGCTATCTTCAAAAAACGGAAACATTGATGCCATGTATAATTTAGGTGGTATTTTATATACGGATGGAAATACTGAGCGGGGAGAATCATTGTTAGTGCAAGCCGCCCAAAAGGGGCACATTCCTTCTATAAGATTTTGTAAGATGAAAAAGATAAAATTATCATAAATATTTTACTAAAATATACCTATTATGTTTTAAATTTGTGTATTATCTCACAAACTGACCAATTATTTGACATATGATGTATCCAAACCTTCCATATTTTAAATCCAACTTAAATTCTAACCTTACCTGAGTTAAAATTTTATATACCAAAAAAATTTATAAAACATAACAAAACATGTAGATATACATATGTGCGAAAAAATCACTACATTTTATAACAAATGTATCATAAATTGTATATCCATATGGTCTTTTATATCATGACTATTTAAACTTTATGGTCAAAATATAAGACAAAAAAATAAAATTCTTTTTAAGTTACTATATTGCCAAAATTGCAAAAAAAACTATCAATTGATAGATATTTATAATGTATCTACGAGCATTTTAGCATCGTTGGCACTTTTGCCAATAGTCACAGGTTGAAATAAAGTATATAAAATAGATACTCCCATTGCAGTGTGCCGAAAATTAATTGCAATTATATTTTATTATATATATAATCATGATAATTAAAATTATCGCAATTAATTGCATTTGTTACATGGGTGTGATGAATCATAGTATGTGACAAATAAGAATTTATTAATTAATTATATTAGTGGATCCTTATTCATCAAGCAAATGATTCATCACAAAATTTCAATTAATTGGCCATTATGGCTGCGTCATTATCAATTAATTGCAGTAATGAGCCCTCACATTCATTTTCGGTAGGCTTGTCCCATTGCAACAACAAAGAAATATATTAGAGTCTAATATTTTGCAATATTCAAGTGTAAGTATGGCGTCATTGTATCTTAATACAGATAGAGTTAAAACTTAAAACTTATATCAAGAATCACTCGAATTGATCGCTTGAGCATAATCTTGATTACTCACCAATCATATTGAGGTAAAAAAAGAAATAAAAACTAATTGTAAACAGAAAAAAGTAATGTAAAGTGTTACAAATCAAACGATATACAATTTCTTTAATTATTAGGTTTAGCCCAACACATTTTATTTTCGATGGTATTCATGTTTTTTATTGTTACAATTGATAATCTTGATTTACCATTCAACCAGATAACAACCAGTACAGAACCAAATCCACATTCAATTTTTTTTAATATCGCCGATTCTTCATATAGAATTCAATTATACATTCATGTTCTTATAGGCGGTAGTGTAAATCGACTAATTTATACGTTTTAGAGTAATTTAAAAACTAAACATTGCACAAATAAATAGTTGTTCAAACAGTTTCTAGCTGCAAAAGAGTGCTAAAAAGTTAACTTTAAAAATAAGATCTTATTTAAGATGCTTACTTAGTACCGATTTTATGACATATAAACAATGCTTCTTCCGACATCTTAAGTGCGAATTCGGAATTGGTTGATGTTCAAAAAATCCAGCCAATAAAACAAACTTCTATCTATGATTCAT